TGTGTGTGTCAGCTGCACAAGAACAGAGAAAAAAGCTCCATCCCTAAATTTAATTTCAGCTCAGTTATCCTGATTTTTTTTTTATTGTTAATCTCTAGTTTTGTTCCTTGGAGAGGAGAAAGTCACTTCTTTATTACGACTGTCTATGTTGCTATTTTATGATTCTGAAGCAAAGCTGGCAAAAACAAGCAATTGCACACACACAGGCAACAGCAAAGGAAATCAGACATGTGGATCTAAGTGACGTGCAACAGTCAAACCTTGTAAACACGGAGGGCTGGAAACTGGAGAGAAATCAGTGATTCATGCATTTGAGAAGTGTGAGAATCGGTCACATCTGCACATCTATAACAGCTGCACCCGTTCCTAACAGTTTCCTTTGACCTTTGAAATCAGCACAGAAATCAGTTGCATTTAATGCTGCGTGTACGTGTGACAGTGCAGAGAAACTTACTGTTCATTAACCACAAAGATGCAGTTGTCTTGTGAGGGGAACCCAGACACCGGGTGCTTACAGGTCACCTTTCGCTCATTGTGGCTGCAGAGAGAGAAAAGGAAAGACAGGAAAACAAAGTGTGAGTGAATTCATAGAAAATGATTTCGATCTAAACCTTCAGAGAGTGGTGACCTGTCCACGGGTACCCTGACCTACCCATCACAGCAAGGAGAGGCTTTAAATCTAATGTGACTTAAAGACATGCAGTCACAAATCAAACTTATCAGCCATCGTTTTATTGATGTATCAGGAGAAAAGGAAAACAGTTCTCTGCAGACACTGACATGCAGAACAACAGCACCACACTTATTTACACATCTGGAACAGTGTGTGGTGCTAAACATCAGCATGATGTCTCGATGCATGCTCCGTCATGCAGGTACGTAGATCCCAAAGGTTGGTTCGGTTCATCTGGACGTTCTCAGTGGGAGAACCGTTCCACCATCATCATCACCAGGTGACTTCTTCAGTCTCAGCTGACTGCAGGTGTCCAACATTATAAACAGGACATTTGCACAATGCTACCTTCTTTGATCAAATGCAAATTGTCATGACTAGTAAACAACAACCAGTGATCAGAGCTGTATCAGAAAATACAAAATGAGATGATAATTATCATCCTGTCGCTGCTGCAGTTATGTTGACCTTGCAACAACCAGTTATTTAAGATAAGTTACTTTAACGTCTTAGTTGTAATTTCTGAGTGATGTTAAGACATTAAAAGTGTCTTCATGGCAAAGTTATTTGAACCATTTATTTAAGTGCTTAAACTCACATTTTGTAGCATTTCCCCTGGAGACCAGTAAAGTATTCTGATTCTGATTTAAGATTCATTTCTGCTGGAAGCACCATCAGGTTAAAGTGAACTTTGTTCTTTGTAAGACCCTTCAGTTAGTGAAGAATCGAAAACACTCTTAGTTTACTTGCAGAGAGTTGATGTTTGCTGCAGCTTGGTGTCACTGCCAGCTACCAGCGTGGAGTCCTGCTGTGGAGCTTCATCACTTAGCTGACAGGTCTGGTCAGCACCACAGAAGATAAGTGAGCATGAGCACAGTGTGTGTAACTGACAGGTCATTTGAAATAGTTCATATACAGAGGACATCTTACTAACATGGTTAGAACTCGCCACTTTGGATTGTGGGCACTACAGTCGACAGTGCAGGAGCAGCAGCTGGAGAGCGTCGTGGTAATACTACACACATGCTAACCAAGCCTACCTCAGACATCAGCGAGAGACAAAAACGAAGCCGTCAGGTGCCGAGGAAACAGGACACACTGATGAGAAGGCTACTGGAACAAGACGGCATCAGTGGGCAAGAGAAACAGGGCGCTGCTGGGATGCTACAACGCAGGTCACCCAGTGGGAGGGGTTACGTGGACAGGATGAGGGACCTCTCGAATCTTCGATACCCAGGATCCAGACTGACGGTGAAACATCTAGTGGTGCAGTGTTTCCACACAGGAAGAAGGAACTGCTCTAACGATGAGAGACTGACGAGGTACAACACGAATGCTACGGAGCCAGGATGATCTCTATGTGCTGTGACGTACCGTCTCTGCTGAAGTCAGCTTATTTTATTAGAAATAATGAAGCCGGTGGTTCATTCATTTCACTGTATGCATCCAATTTCATTTTGTTTATAAAGTGCTGAATCACAGCAACACTTGCCTCCAAGCAGTTTATACTGTAAGGTAAAAAACCTACAATAATAACAACAACAGGGAGACCAACAGGGCCACAAATCTCCTCCTCAGCGTTATATTCCTGCTGCCTTACAACTCTGGTGTAAACCCCACTGAGTCACAGTCACTGCAGGTGTGGACAAGCACACCTGCACCACGCTGTGAGCTAACAGTGCTAACCACCGCACCATTGTACTGGCTCCATAACGTGTATTTATTATCTCACTCTTATTGCCTGTTCTTATTGTTCTGATCTTCAACGTCATGCTGCTCTGTTGTTTGTTATTTGCCACTTGGGGATAAATAACGTCTTTCTGATTCTGATCATTCTTTCGTCTGACCTTTGACTGAGACGACAACAAACAAACCTTCAAGATCTGCCATCACTGAGTACGTCCCAATTCACAGGCCAAATATGTGCAGTTTCATTGTACTGAGCTGTAATTTGGTGGACAACAGGTGGAAGTCACTGTCACTTGGAAACAAATTTACACAGTTTACATGTTGTTGGAAACACTCTTAAAGGAAGTAAACAAGTCAACAAAATGCAGCTAATCCCAGCCCAGGACCGCCGTCAAATCAGCCGTCATTGGTGAGCAGTGAAGTCAGTCGCCGTTGAACTTCACCAGTTAAGAAAAAGACGAGTCGTGAGGCTGCGGGGCTCGTTTCTACCTGTTCATGTCGCTCCAGTAGAATCACTGCGACGGTCGCTTTGCAGAGTCTTTGTGCTGCAGGGTGTGTGTGTGTGTGTGT